TATGGTGTCTCTAATGTGCACAATATAAAAGAAAATGACTATGAAGAAGGTTTAAGTAATTGTGCAAGTGTTAATCTCGCCTACTTTAGTTTTCAAATTTTTAATATCTTTATCTGTTTCTAAACTTATTACACTATAAAACAATTGGCATTTTAAAGAATCTGTTGCATGGTAAGTGAAAGAGAAAAATGACTTTATGAATTCACATGAGAGTCTATTTAAGGGTTAAAGAATGTAGATGATGTTAGATTTCACGCTGGGTTATAGAGAACGAACAGCTGAAAAGTCTCAGTCGAATACGTGTTCAATGGATACCAGTGTTTTAGGAAATTGGACAATCATTTTAACTTCTTGTCCGTTCGATCGAATCGAATCAGTAGAATTAACATAACAGGAACGTGTGCATAGTCCTTGTGCGGTGATTTGGCTCCGTGGCGTCCCTTTGATAGTTCCACCATCGTTTTAAGTTTCCTAGTTTTCCAACCTTCACCTTTCATCTTTCACCCCTACTTTCCATCACTGTCTATTTGCCTATCTATCCGGGTACCACTGTTTTGCTATCCCTACAGCTATCACCCTCTCCTCGTTTTCCTTTCTTGCTTTTGCCCCAACTGCTCGCCACTCGGTATTGTTTGACACGGCGATTGTAGACCATTTGAAAGTTACCAGAGGTAGCAGAAAGCAAAGGCCTGTCCTTTTCTGATCCGCGCCAGAGCGGGGTCAGACTCGATAAAAAGGCATGGAAGTTTAATGGACGTCGAGCCGTCTCGAATGCAGACTGCTTCTAATGTTACGCCTTCGTTTGTGCCCCGTTCGTGTATCCTCATTTTTGCGTTATGCGGCATCCATTGTATTAACCGAGGTATTTTACTATAGAAACGAACGAATTCGTTTCAGAGGCTCCTCCGTTAGTCAACTTTATACTTTATGGAACGAACGCTTTATAATTCAATAGAAAATTAATTTGCAGACCTGACACTTTGAGAGAATTCGGAATTCACAAACTGGCAGGTATTTTAAGAATTAATGAAATGGAAGCTCTGTAGAGGGTTGTCTTAATCCCTAAATATAACAATTCGCATCTTACTGTAAGTATTTCTTATATTTCTGCATAGTAATGTGGAATTTTTCGTCTATTGCATGACATTCATCCCTAGCGATAATGTGGGGTCTTTTAATGTATGTATGCATGTTTATGCATTTATGTGTATATACTTGCCATACTCCAAGAAACAAAACACGCATAATGGTTTGAGAACAATCAAAACAGTGTATTCAAAAATCAGTATCTGTTTCGCGTGCTTACCGTTTCAATTGAAAAGTAATAAAAAATAAATTGTATTATTCTGTGCCTTCTTACTCATATAATATGAGTGGATTTATTAATGAGTATATTGCTGACTCTTTATCGGATTATTCGATATACTCAGAAGATTCTGATGTAGAAGCTGAAGACAGTGACAGTGATGTCTGCTCAAGAAGAAAATTCGTGTGATTCCGACGATTCTAGCGATTGTGATATGTCCACGGAATCGCATATTTATAGTGAAACATGGTCAAATATTGATACCCTTTCTAATATACCAGATTTTACTACTGAACCAGATTTAAAGATTTTCCCTGCTAATCAGAAAAGCATTGGAGAAGTCATCGATTTATTTATTGGCAATGTCTTATTAGAACTTATGGTTAATGACATCTATTACCAGCAAGATAAGGACAAAATGAATAACGGGAAGAAAATGTATAAGTGGAATGATATTACACTAGCTGATATGAAAAAATTTCTCGGCATGATTATAATAACGAGCCAGGTAAAGGAAGATATAAGAGAAGATTATTGGTTTTCAGAATACCATCGGTTTCGAATTTAATGTGACCTAATAGAGTTCGCCAGATTTAGAATAGATGGCATTTTGCGAACAATCAAATATTAACCAATTCCAGCAAGCTCGAAAAGATTCAGCTCATACTTAATTATTTATTAGATAAATTTAAATTGGTATATACGCCTAAGAAAGAACTATCACTTGATGAAAGCATCACTTCATGGCGTGGAAAATTATCTATAGAAACATACAATCCGACGAAAATAATAAAATACGGCCTACTTTATCGTATGTTGCGCAAAGCTAAAAATGGATACATTTACAATATCGAAATATACTGTGCAGAAGTAAAAAAATTGGACCAGATCATAATGTTATTACTGGATAAGAATATATGTTTAGAATACCACATATATACAGGGTGTTCGGCCATCCCTGGAAAAAATTTTAATGAGAGATTCTAGAGGCCAAAATAAGACGAAAATCAAGAATACCAATTTGTTGATTAAGGCTTTGTTAAAAAGTTATTAACAAAATTATTAATAAAATTTGTCCACCTACTCGAATTTTTTTCTCGACAGGTGGGCAGGATTTCGGGGGTATGTCTATTCACCAAAAATGATTGTAATTGACTCCCACAACCAAAAATAATTTTTCCAGAATGATTTGAAACTTTTCAATTTCGCCGAAAAATGTAGGCATCTACCCCTGCGATTTTTCTTCAAAATTTATTTTTCAGTTGTTTAGTACTGTTTTGTAGGTAGCCATGAGCTCTACTTTCGGACTAAATTTCATTGAAATATATTATTGTAGGAGTTATGGTCGTTTGAAATTTTGAGCCACGTTTATGGGGTTTTTCTAACTTTACGGTATTAGGGAACAACTTTTCCACTATTCTTAAAATTTCTACATATTCTTGACTAAAATACACGTTGTTTGTATTTTCAAACATTAAAATCGTCCAATCCGTTCAAAAGTTATGATGTTTTAAACATACGCATGAAATTTCAGGGAAACATGTCAATGTATGGTCAGATATTATATTTTCGGTAAGGAATTTTTTTCTTGAAAGTGCGTAGGATTTCGGGGGTATGTGTATTCACCAAAAATGATTGTAATCGACTACTGAAACTATAAATAATTTTTTTAGAGCGATTCGAAATTTTTTAATTTCTTCGTAAATTTTCTGGTCGTTATGGAACTTTAAACGTTAATAACGTTTTAACGAAGTCTCAATGAACAAATTAGTATTCTTGATTTTCGTGTTATTTTGGTCTCTAGAATCTCCCATTCAAATTTTTCTCAGAGGTAGCAGAACACCCTTTGTATGGACAATTACTACAACAACATTCAGAACGCAGAATTGTTAATCAAAAATGGTACAAGTGTTTGCGGTAAAACTGGAGAATATGCGTTTAAAAGAAAAGGTGAAATTCTAGTGTAAGCGTGAAAACCGAAACAAAAAATCGTATGTATATGGTTTTTACAATACATTCGGCAGAATTAACAAAAACAAATAAAAGAAATTGGAAAACAAAAAAAAAAGAAATTATAAAACCATATTCCATCACAGGATATAACAAATATATGATGAGTGTAGATTTGGTTGATCAATACGTACCATATTATTCTGTGAAGTGGGCAAAAAAGACAGTATTATATCTGCTAAATTATGCATTATTTAATGCATTTAGATTTTATATTGAATTAAATGGCAATATTGTAAACCATAAAAAATTTTTACATGCTGTTGGGCTCGAGTAACCATCAAATACTGAAAATGTATCAAATGATTCTGATTTGCCTTCTTCTCTATTTATTCCTACACCTCGTACACCAAAATTTGATGATCCCCAAAGACTTTCTCGTGAAATGAAGAAGCATAAAGTTACAAGAATTTTTGGCTCTGGGGAACAAATATGTACGCATCAGTGTAAAGTTTGTTCAGCTAGTAAAAAAAGGAGCGATAGTAGCTTCATGTGTACTCAATGCTTAGTATTTAGAAATTAAAAATATTGATTCTACTGGATCTTAGTTTTAGTTACAGTTCATATGACGAAGATTCAATCAAAATATACTGAGGGGGCTGGGGGTTCAAATGACAATCCCACGATCTACCCCAACAATTATTTAAACATTTATTTTCGCGGGTGTGGGGATGTAGCCACACGTAGGTTAATGTTGTTCACAAACTGTCTTTACAAACGCGACTTCGTCTTTACCAGACTGGAGCGTGTATCACAGACTGGCCGTGCACGCGTCTTTTACGGACTGGGACGTCTATAACAGACTGGGGTTTTCTTTAAGCGTCCCTTCAATATACACTCCGCGACAAAACTATAAGACACCTGTGATTTTAGCTAATATTTTATTAATACTAATTTTTTCGTGAAAGTTTTCGTTATTAATCCAAAGAATCAACTAAAATACATACATTTCCATAGCGGTATTATTATTAAATTAGATTGAAAAAAGTTTCATTAAAATTTCCAATTTTTGATAAAATAAGGTGCGACAAAACTATAAGACAATGTATATTATAAGTACGAAAAAGTGGGTGAAAGTTAATGGAAACAAATTTTTTTCTATTTATTAATAATGTGTTGTACCACCTTTATTTTTTATAGTTTCAATTAATCGCCGTGGTATCGATTTATATAAATTTTTTATGTGATCTTCATTTAATTTGGTCCATTCTTCTTCGATACGAGCTTTTAACTCTTCCACCGTCAAATACTGTTTCCCATTTCCATACACAGCACGTGCTAACATTCCCCAGATGTTTTCGATTATATTTAAATCTGGAGACCTCGCAGGCCATGGTAAAATTTGTATATCACGGTCTTCAAAATATTTTTTTACACGTTTCGCTGTATGCACAGCGGCATTATCATGTTGAAAAATATAATTTTCACATGCAATAGTACTGGCATGTCGCGTTAATTGCTCCTCTAATATTTCTATATATTTAATTGCATTCATGCTGGTGTTAATAAATTTTATATCGGTTCTCCCGTGGTACCCTATTGCGGCCCATACCATGATGCCGCCTCCGCCCATTTGCCTCCTTGACAAATGCAATTCTCCTTTCCGCAAATCATGAAAATAATATGAAAGACCATCCGGTCCATCTAAATTGAAACGTTTTTCATCTGAAAAGATAACTTTTTTTCACTTTTTTCCCCACTGGATATGTCTTTCAGCAAAATCTTCCCTGGCTGCTTTGTGTCGATTCGTAAGTGGTGGTTTTTTCTGCAATTTTCGTCTTTTTAAATGCTTAGCTTGTTTAATTATCCGTTGCACATTACGAATATTAGTATGAACGCCAGCTTCTGCTGCAATTTGCCGTGCTGTCAAGCTAGAATTCGACGCTACCCTCAGAATTGCTCGCCGTTGTCGTTCGGTTGCCGCTTTTGGACGTCCTCCAGGATGTTTCTTTCCATAATTCCCTCTATTTTTTAAATAATTGAACACGGCACATCGACTTCGCCCAATCACTCTTGAAATTTCTGAAATAGAAGTATTCTTTTCTTTTAAATTTACGATCACTCTTATTTCACTCTCTGTCAGCTTTTTCCCACGCGGCATTGTAATTATATTATGTAAGAACAAAATTACAAATGTTTAATTTTAAGTACACAATTACTTTTAACACTGTGACTGTGATTAGAGAAAAAGATCGACTGACGAAAGCCTACTGTCTTATAGTTTTGTCGCGAAGAGAATAGCATGTTTACATACATTTTCCAAATTCTTGGAATTGTAGCCTTCGATATTTCATAGAACTGTAGAATATACTTGTGTATAACGTAAACAATAACACTATAAATGAAAGAAGACAAAACTCAAGGCTTACATAGAATTTTCTTCGAATTTCGCACATGTCTTATAGTTTTGTCGCGGAGTGTATACACATTCTTACCCTAATAGTAAAGGTACAGAAAAAGAGATAGAGCAGAAAGACGGAAAAACGAAACTGGAAAATACTTAGTGTAGGAAAAGTTTAGCTACAGTGAAAGAGAGTAATAAAAGTCAAAAGGCTCGCCGGGCCCGGATCTAGGTGGACCGAGGCCCAGGCGAAACCTTGAAGGAAAACAGACGCCTCGCACGGCTCTGGTCGCCAAGTGTTTAACAGGACGACCAGGCTCGCACGAGACCCTGGGAAAATGAAAAAATAGAAAGCTTAAAACTATCCTTACATTCCATTCCCATTCATACGCTGGCAAGGGCGTAGTGGCTATACAATGGTCGCTACAATACTATTTTACGAAAGTATATAAGGTTTTTAATATTCCCTTTTTAGCTGCTCACTCTTCAGAGGCAAGCAATCAAGTTAAGTTAATTAAGTTAAGTAAATTCTTAATAAATTTTCTTAATAAATTTCTTAATAAATTCTTTAAATTTTTCATAAATGCATAAACATCTGCAGTCGAATTATTACCAATAGCCTCGGTAAAAATAAAACTAGTGTTTGTTTGCATCGATAAAAGAAAATTATTCATTAGTTTAAATGTTTAAAATGTTTCACTCTATCATGGCGACCATCTTGTTTATTCATTATATTTATTTCCTTTATTTATTTACGCGATAATCAAGAATAACAGTTGTTGGAGAGAGGTAGCTAAACAAAAGAAATATAATTTTTTATTTGCAAAATCATTATTGTTACTAGACTGCGGATTTTTATGTAAATTGGTATTTTTATTAATAGAATTAATGAAATGGAAGCTTTGTAGAAGATTGTCCGTGAGGGTTGATAATTCGTATCTTACTTTAAGTATTTCCTACACTTTTGCATATTAAATTTATTCTCTAATTTTTTAAGAATTAAAATTTCCCCATAAATGCATAAACATCTGCAGTTTAGTTACGTGTTACGACTCGTAATACGTTGAAACAAATTTACGATGGCGGACGGTTAATCAAATATTTGATCAAATCGCCATCGAGGAATCCAAGTTCCCTTACGAAATATCTGTAAAGGATGAGAGAGATAAATACGTGTATCTGTTGGTTCTAGTAATCGAGTCCAGTTTCATAAAATTTGCTCATCGCCGATCGCTTTAATCCATGCCGTATCAGAGCTCCCCGGCACAATTAATGGACTGTCAAAGTGGGCATTGCTTTAATTCCTGTTCAATATAACTGGTTATGTGTAATGCATGCGGAAACTCATTGCTTCCTGAATATTACGGATAGATTCGATGAGACATATTAGCTCTCGATATTTATAACTGTATTTATTTGCACGTTCCCATGATGCGTACCTGCATCAAACTCAATATTGATTTTACTTTTTAAACGTGTAAAAATATGACCAGCTAACACAATTTAAACATTTATACTCGATATCTAAACTGTAAATATTATTACTATTATTATTGTCACTGTTACTATTAAACACAAAATTCGTTTTTTGAATTTTATAAAGCATTACAGTATTGTGGCATCGAATCGCGCGCCAGCCGCGAAAAGAGAATCTGTTAATAAAGAGATTAAATTAAAAACGCCCGTGGTCTTTTAAACTCTCGGTCCCCGGGATTCCGACAATTTATCAGAAGTGGGATTCGCCTGCGTGAATTTTGGTGGTATTCGGTGGTATTTGGTGGTTTTTAGAAGTATTTTGCTGGGTCGACACGTGGAGAAACACGGAAATCGACGCCATTATTACTTCAGTTGTTGAGTTTAGAAGTTTTGTTTTGTACGAATACCCGTGTACATCTTCTCTGGCCGCGATGGCTAACGAAGGGCAAGGCAGAGAAGAGCGGTATTTTCGCGATTTGGCAATGGTATTGCCGGTATTTGACCCTGTTGTGGGTGAGTTCACAATCGACGAGTGGATTGAGAAGATGGAAGAATATGGGGACCTCTACCAGTGGGACAAGATCGCCGTTCGTCACTATGCTCTGATGAAGTTAACGGGTGTAGCGAGAAAGTGGAGGGACAGCCTGCCTCGCATGGACCGATCTTGGTTGCAATGGAAGGAACTATTGAGGGAGAACTTCCCAGCCGATGAAAGCATGGTGAGTGCTAGGCTGCGAGCCGAAACCTATAAGAAAAAACCTAATCAAAATGAGTATTTTTATAAGAAACTGTCGAGATGTAATAAAGCAAAAATGGGAGACCGCGAAGCAATAGAATGGATCGTTAACGGCCTCGATAGCATTCGGCTCAGGGATTATCTAGGACCGTAGGCTCGATACAAAAAACCAAGCGAATTGTTGACGGATTTACGAAACGCGGGGAGTTACACATAGGAAACTCTGGCAACGCCTAATGAACGATCCGATAGCAATGGCGTGGCGAATCGACGTTCACCTCTAAGGTGTCACGAGTGTAAACAAATAGGGCACACGGCGCGGTTTTGCCATAAACCGAAGCACGTGCCGACCTGTTTCAAATGCGGAGCCAGCGGACATATTTCGCGTACATGTACGGCAAACGGGGCGTCTGGGTCGACGGGAAGTACAACCGAAGCAACACAAACACATTCGCGGAACCGACCAGTATTGTGTATTAACGGAGATACACACCAGAAATATTTCAAAGAAGCAACTATTAACGGACGGCAAGTTAAATGTTATGTTGATCTAGGAAGCAGCGTGACGGCCTTGCGAAAAGATGTCGCTGACGAACTTGGACTTAGCTATTATGAGACAAAGTTGAATTGTTTTGTGGGTTATGGCGAAGGGCGTGTGCAGCCATTGGGTGTTCTGACGGCTGATATCAGCATCGATGGTGTGACGGTGAGGACGGAGGTGCACATTGTTCCGAGAGGGAGCCAGGCTGTACCCCTTTTGGTTGGTCATCCGTACACGGAGAACCCAGGTGTGATCGTGATCAGCAGAGCAGGGGAGCTACGAATAACGGACAGAGAGGATAACCCGTTGCAGATAGAGCCGCAATATGCGAAGAAGACCGTGCTTCGTGCTGATCAAATGTGTGTTATTCCAGATAATTACTTGGGACACGTTACAGTTGTGGGAGGCGCCCCAAACCAAAAGCTGTTCATCGAAGGAGGTCTAGCTCCAGCCGCCAGCGCGAAAAGACGCGCGACTAGGTGTGCATGAGTGTGTGTATGTCTGTGCGAATCGAAAAGTGCGAAAGATGGAATGTTTGTAAACGATTGTATGATTGGTGAGGATGAGGGCAGAGAGCACGGCAGAGCGAGTGTGAGAGAGATAATGGATGAGAGGAACGGTGAGCGATTGGAAGAAGTGTGCCAGAGTTTGAACGACAGCGAAAGCAAGCGGTATCGAGTAGAGAATCTGTTAATAAAGAGATTAAATTAAAAACGCCCGTGGTCTTTTAAACTCTCGGTCCCCGGGATTCCGACAGTATTTTTTCTGTATAAGCTCAGAACTCGTCCACGATATGTATAGGCAAATATCGTATCCCCTCTACTTATCCCCACTGCGTACTGTTAGAACCCAGCACTCGCTGAACCGGCGAGTGTGCCTTCCTATGAGCGGTTCCCCAGGATAGCGGCCCGTTTGACGGTCGGTCGTCGAGCATTGACAAATTTTTTATTTTTCCTTTTCTTGTTTTAAAACTTTTAACATGTCTGTGACAGTTTTCTGATTTAACTAAGATCAAGTACAACATAATTTTTATTATTGTTTTTCATAAATTATAATATACATTTGTCCTTTCTTTAAAGTGTATCCTCGTCTGAAAAAAGGAATTGTAATTTAATTGACCTATCATTTATTTGCTGAAATCGTGAGAGAACTCAGAGTAAAATAAGTTGGTTAAACAGTTCAAATTCGGAAGTTTGTATCTTTTTGAGTCATATCACTATTACAGTAAATGAGCGATACATACATATATGTACTGAAGTTATGACACGATTTAACTAGTGCATATACAATATTAAATCAACAACGAAATTTATCTTTATTTTTGTTCTTCCTTTTTTCAAACTTCATCAACATATTCGTGACACTTTCCTGATTAAAATGGCACCAAATACGATATACAATTTAGATCCTATTTACTGACGCAATAAGTGATCAAAGGCATGCATCGCTCAAATGACTCCACGTCGGCTGTATCGAAACACAGGCGATGTTTACGGGAGCTTATACAGAATCAGTATTTCATTCTGCGACCTCTACCAAGAGAGGTAGAGGTCGGAATTAGAACACCGATTTCGTATAGGCTCGCGTAAACATCGTCTGTGTTTCGTTACAGCCGACCCGAAGCGAAGGAAGCGATAGCAAATTCGGCGATGTTCGGGCGCTCAGTCTCTCTTTGTCATATGCTCGCTGTTCTTTTCTACACTTGCCACCTCCAGTAGGCGTCAACAAAGTATCCAGAATCGTTTTTCGTCCACGCTATAGCCGAGCGTTGAGCCCCGAGAGCGTCGCTTCTATAGAGACAATACTGTATACAAGGTGTTTAAAAAAAACCATTCAATATTTATTAGGTATATAGGATACATTGTACCGAGTAAAAAAGCTTTATGGAACACAGGTCGAAAGGTCAACCTTTTAACCTTTTAAATATTGAACGGTTTTTTTTTTAATACCCTGTATATTGTTACGTCCCGACGAACGGGTCATTAGCCGCGACTATTTGACACTTCC